GGAGGGGTAGGCAGCAGGGAGCAGAGCAGGGCGGGCGTGGGCCGGCCTGGACTCGGTGACGAGCTCCAGGTGGCACCGTGGGGAGGGACAGCCCATTAGGTGCCTGCAGGAGCCTTCTGGGGGGTGCTGACCCCAGCCCGTGCGTCCGCGGGCCCCTGGGAGCGGGCCTCGGGGGCCTGCAGGAGCCGGAGGTGTCAGTAGAGCACTCAGGTCCCTCTCTGTCCCCAGGACGCCTTCCAGGAGGAGTACTACCGGACGGGCACCTTCCCCGAGACGCCCATGGTGCCCTCGAGGCGGCCCTGGACGCTGCTCAACTGGCTCTTCTGGGCCTCGCTGCTGCTCTACCCCTTCTTCCGCTTCCTCGTCAGCATGGCCAGCAGCGGGTCCTCCCTGACGCTGGCCGGCTTTGTCCTCGTCTTCTTTGTGGGTAAGTGGCTGGCGGTGCAGGTTGAGGGGGGACCGCTCAGTGGGTGTGGGGTGCTTGAGGGGCACAGCCTGCAGGCTGCCAGGAAAAACGCGACTCCAGGCCCCATCCACCGAGCCCCGGGGTTAGGGAGGCGTGGCTGCCTCAGGCGCAGGGACACGGCCTCTAGGCAGGACAGCCTGGTCCCAGCTCCCAGCTCCCTTGGACACAGGCTCCCCTGGGCTCCTCCACTTCCTCTGTGGGCCAGGTCCTGCAGCCGAGGAAAAGCTTTGGGGGAGGGGAGTGGAACTCTGCCTGTTCATGGCTCTAATACTTGCCCCCAGGCAATGGGGAGGTGCCGGGCACTACGTGTAAGCTCCCATTCTCCAGGCTCCCCTGAAGGGTGCCCCCAAGTCCTACCCTGAGTCACCAGACTCTTGTGCCTTCCGTAAGCCCACGTGCAGTGGGCCAGGCTTGCCATTCTGATATCATGTGGAGGCTCAGACCCTCGGCCAACACAGCCCGGCCGTCCCTTTGTGGCACTTGGTCCAGCCGGCGCCGTGCCCGCGCTCCTGGAGAACCAGTCAGCTCTGCTGGTGCCAACAGGTGGGCGGACAGCGGCAGCGTCCCCACAGCCTCCTCACACCCTGCCCTTCCCCTGCAGCTTCCATGGGGGTCCGATGGATGATCGGTGTGACGGAGATCGACAAAGGCTCCGCCTACGGCAACATGGACAGCAAGCAGAAACAGAGGGACTGACTCAGGACACGCTCCGTCCAGAGCGGACCTTGGGGAGCGGGTGGGCGCTGTCCCTCCCGGTGTGACCCAGTGAGGGCACCGGGGGAGTCCCTGCTGGGAGGCAGGGCCTGTTCTCACGCCGCTGGGTGGGGCAGAAGACGTGCTCTGACCCGTCCTTCCCCGTGTGCAGTAGTGGGTTCCGGTTCTTTCCCTGTGCGTGCGTGCGTGCCGAAGAACACGAGGTGAGGGTGCGAGGCTGCCTGCCGGCCGTCCTGTGATCATGCCGCGGTGTCTGGTGCAGGGGGAGGGCAGGGAGGGGAGTCCCTTTCATCCTTTGGTGCTGTTTTCTGTAGCCGATTGCCAGGTAGAGCCAAGGCGCTGTAGGGAAGATGATTAAATTATGCCTCCAAAACAGCTTTCCAGTGTTTGGCTCCTCTGTGGTGCGTACACAGACCCCTCCATCCTTCCACGCAGTCAGGCAGACACAGTGTCTAACCGTTTCTCAGCTCAGGTCAGCCAGCGAGGCAGAGACCAGCACACAGTCGGAGCTGTGCAGCTTGGGGGCAGGGTTCCAGGCACTTCCTCTAGTGACTTCATTCAAAACACCAGCCACCTGAGACGGGCAAGCGTCCGCCTGGGAGCACGGGGCTGCGCACCTGTGGGCTAGTCCAGTGGTCGGCAAACTGCGGCTCGCGAGCCACATGCGGCTCTTTGGCCCCTTGAGTGTGGCAGTTTCAATTGCACTGTACGTGCGCGCCCACACGTGGTATTTTGTGGAAGAGCCACACTCAAGGATCGCAGTTTGCCAACCACTGGGCTAGTCTATCCCCTGGTTTACGTCTGTAGAGAGGACACACCTGTTCATAAGAGCAGTCATGCTGGAACAGCTCTTGGCCGCTATATTCTCTAAACAAATGCATGCAAAACCTTGTAAAAGTAGCTACGGATGTTTCAAAAATTAAAAAAACACATTAAACACATTAGTGTGTTTCAAATACAGTCATAAGTGGATCTGAAAACAGGGACTTGGACGTAAAATCCTGGGACAATTGTGCAGCCGGTCCAGCAGCAGGTGATGTAATGGACACACAAAGGGCCTGGCAGCCCTGGCTTCTCCTGGCTGGTCCCCAAGCAAATCAGACTGCGGGTGCGGGGCTTCCCAATCACTCAGCTGTGTGAGATGAGGGAGGAGGGGCAGAGGCACCGCTCCACACCCGGCAGGTGAGCCCCGCTTCTCCGAGGTGCCGGCTGGACTCCCCACATGCGAGGCGCAGCTCGCGGTGGATGTAAGATGGTCTCAGACCCGCTCCCTCTCCGCCCCTGGCGCTGCACGGCCCTCCCCTGCACCGAGGGCTTGGAGCCTGCAGGACCCCGCGGTGCCCACCGCCCGCCCAGGGACACGGGCAGAGCGAGCCCTGTGCCAGGGCTCACTGGCCCTGAGGCTGACAAGCTTAGAAAAGATAAGGCAGCTGCGCTTTCCTAAAATAAACCATTTATTGAAAAAAGAGCCTTTTTCTTCAATTTCATTCATCAGCCTTTTGCTGACAGACCTGTGGCCGCCGCCGCCCATAGGGCAGGTTCACAGTCAGTGCACTCGACAGGCGAGAACAGGCCAGGACCGGGGACCACGACCTGCTCGGAACCAGGGCGGTCAGCGCACTACAGACGTCCGGGTCCGTCCCGAAGAGCGGGGACGAGGCGGCGGTCCGTGTACAGTAGAAATGGCACTTAACATGGAGCTTCTTTCCTCGTGGACACTGTCACTCAGGAGGCCCCGCGCCAGGTCGACGCCGCAGGGGCAGCCCAGCCCGGAGGTGGGAGGCCGCGCTCTCCCAGCACAGCCTTCATGTAAATGTTACATACAGTAGCGATGACGTCTTCCGAGCGCATACCAGCCACGGCGGCTTCGCGTCATTCCTCATCGGTGCAAACCTGCAGGAAGGCAGGAGAGAGCTGAGCCCAGCGCGCTCCGAGACCACAGGCAGACGCGCCCCGTGCCCTGCAGCACCTGGTGAGGGGGGCTCCGGACACAGGGACCGGGGTGCTGTCACTGCTCCAGGACTGACACTGACCACTCCGAAGGACGCGCTTACAGCAGCAGGTCAGCCGGGCGGTTCTACACGTCTCAGTGCAGCAGCACATTCTTTAGTTACAAAGCCCAACAGCAGGCCCCGCTCCGGTTCCGTAGCCTCGCTCACCCCCAGGAGGGCACCTGTGGGTCCTTAGCCTTGTGCACCGGGCACCCATGGGTCTGTAGCCTCGCTCACCCCCAGGAGGGCACCTGTGGGTCTGTAGCCTCACTCACCCGGAGGAGGAGGAGGGCACCG